CATCTGAGAGATCAGTCTGTAATTATGTTGAAAGAAAGTGGTCACGGTGTGTCAGTCAGTGTGGGCCTGCTGTTCTAATTGGTAGACAAGGGTTTCTCTTAGTGGCTGCACTGGCATTAACGAAGACCTGGGCCTAAACGACAGTAGCACTCCATCATTTTTCGAATGCTGTAATCTTTGACGCAAAAAGCTGCATGGAATGAATAAAGATGTGTCAATGCCTCTACAGCAATAGTCAGCAATATTAAAGGCGTATAATACATGCAGTGCATTTTTAATAAGCAAGCAAGTAGGCATGCATATGTCGTGTCGAGTGCAAGACTTTTACATATAGATGACCACCCATTGCTTTCAAATGAATTCACACAGTGCCGTTTAATTCTATCAGCATCCAGTATATCTCACAGAGATTTCAAGCTGCTTTCTGTGGGGACATTTGCACACTTGCACACTGACTGCATTGCATTTTACACTAACTCGCCATACATGAACACAGAGACGGAACAAACTACAGCAAATAGGAGTATAGTGGAGCCCTCAGCAGAAAAAACCTAAAAAGCATGCAAGAAAAGTTTCAGATGCACCTGATAAAAAAAAGAAACTCGACATGTAGAGGAAGCATTATAGTCCAAATGAGAGAGTCTCGCAGCAAAGCGTACATTGTAAGCAAATGTGAGTAGTGTTGGCGTAATTGCTCCCACTGCCAAACAGGAGAAACAACAGTTCTACACTGCAAGTTTAGACAATGTCCCTGCTTCCACAAAATTAGTTTCCTGTACAGCTAAACTTCATTCTGAAGGGAACGGAAATTCATTTTGAACTAAACAGAAAATAGGTAGTCCTCAAAACATAATGGAGTTTAATGTTAGTTAGTTGAGTTGTTAGGAATGTAAGAGACTGGGATGGCTAGGAGTATATATTTGAATTTAAATGTAAATCATTGGAATCTGTAACAAAATCTAATGAGATTAGTCGTTATCCACCACATTATATACAGAATTGTCTCGTGGAAACAGCAGTCTAAGCATTGTAGCCCAGGTATTCCAATGTCTTGCTACTTCCTCCATCTCCTCCTGGGGAATCCCAAGATGTTCCAATCCAGAAGAGATGTACAATCATCCCAGCATAATCTGGTTTTGTCTCATAGTCTCCTTCCGGTTGGACCCACCCAGAGTACCTCCCTAGAAAGCTGTCCAGGTGCCATCCTGGTTGCGTCCTGAAACCACCTCAACTGGCTTCTTGCAATGCAAAAGGAGAATTGGCTCTTCTCCGAGCACCATCCTCGTGTTGGAACTCCTGATCCTGTCGATGAGTCCACAGACCTCACGAACCAAACATTTCAGACCCCTATATCCCTGATCTTGTTCTTTCAGTCACAACCCAGAGCGAATGACGATAGACGATCGCAGAAACATAGACTGATTGGTAAATTGAGAGCTTTGCTTTGAGGCTCAGCTCTCTCTTCACCTCAGAAGACCAATACAGCATCCACATCTATGTAGATTCAGCTCTAATCCACCTGCCCATCTCCCACTCCAGTCCACCCTCACTAGTGAACAGGACCCCGAGATACTTGAATCAATGAGCTTAGAATATTGATATTTTTACAAAACTCGAACTGCAAATTGATGTGATGCCACCAGCAAGGCAGTTTCTCTAGGGAAAGTTATCAAACACACACACACAATCCCCTGATGTCGGGAGAGTGATGTTTCTTTTCGCTCACAATCAATATTTGACCGTTGACACTGGCTCACAGAGAGCACATTAACCAAGCAGCAGCCATTTCCAACACAGATGACATAATGGGCTGCCGATTATGCTTGTCATTTTAACCAGTGAAATGAATGGCTAAGATGAAAATAAGGAGCGATTAAATGGTTGGAAAGCGTTAAAAAGTGTCAGACGTACATATTTTGCAAAGTTTGAACTGATTCTGGCTACCGAAGCCCAACCAAAGTAGAGATATGAAACAGTATTTAACATAGAAAATTATTATAAGGCACATTTTCATAAACATATTGTGTCTGCAAAGAACATTTTAGATCATTCTATGACAGCCGAAAATACAATCTATAAAGGAAGCTGCAATATTTATGACACCCAACAGTATGAAAATGTGGGACAGGAGAAACAACATAGACTTACAAATAGGACTGAATATGGAAACTTGTCCTGAGGGGAGCCCCAGAGGAAAGGTCTTTATGAGTTCAAAATGGAAATGTTTTTATCTCTGGCCAACATGAGTGTTCAGCAAGTTTCATGACAGTCATCCTCAGCCGATCAGTTGATTATTTCACCTCAAAAATTTGGCATGATGGCGGTGCTAGTGGATCGTCCTCCTGGGAACACAAGTCTCCACCACACATTCTCACAGTCATATTTAGCCTGCAGACTGAGTCATTGTCGTGCTGTTTGGTTTGGTTTATTCTTACATTTCCGGCAGCTTGTCATGAGATTGGTGCGTGATTATCTCAGTTCAGTGTGGTTATTGTCTATCGGTGGTTTGGTAGAAAACTGAGGCTCCTATGATCCAACACTTGTTTATTCCTGCTGCTAAGAGGGGAAAGCCCGCACTCCTCCTTCATTATTCTCCTCTCTGTCCTCACACTGTGTCACACTGTGAATAAATTTCCAGCTCCTCGCTGCAGTCGGATGAGAGAGAAAACAGAAGGAAAGCAGGGGAGAGAAAGAAAGGGCAGAGAGTGAAATATATTTTCAAGTGACAGACTCGAGCTGAAGGCCAGACCGGCACTTTGTCTTCCAAGGAGAGGCTGGATTTATTGCCCCTTGTGTCTGATGTGCCATTCCAGCAAAGTTACTATCATGGGTTGTTTTGTTTTTTTGGAGAGAAACAATTAGATGGCATTAATTCCTCTGAGAGTACCCTAAATTGGGTAAAAAGGGGATACGCTGTTGCTTAGACATTTACTGCTCTTTATTTAAAGTCCCTCTCCGGTTGTTAATTTAACTAATAAAAGCTCATTTCTGTGCATAAAAGTTATGTATTTAGTGAGTTAGTTTATTCCATGAAAATAGTTCATTCCTGCCTTCAAATGGCTTAAATAGAACTCTACCTCTCTCTACTTAGAATGCACAGATCTATTGCCTCTAATTCTGCTAACCCCTCCCTAATCGCTGCAGCTCAAGCACACCAGCTCTCTGTGAAACTACTCTACATTGCATTTCTGAAAAAAAAGTAATGATACAGAAAGTCCCACCCTGCAAGCTGGCATGATTGGTTTCTCAGGATTGTTATGTTTAAAAATAAAATAATCATCCAGAAATCATAATTTTTTTTTTGATACTGTTATCGATTCATTGCAGTTTCAAGGTGGATGATTGTTGACAGTTTATTTCACATGGGTCTTATTTTGTCTTATGTCTTAGCTTATTAAAATAAAACACAATTTGGACAGGTCAACATAATGAAGAAGCTTTTTTTCTCTCTCTCAGACCCCTCATCTAACATCTACAACAAATAAGTACAAACAAAGTAATATGCTTTATTCACAAATACAGCTAAAGGCTAAATACTCAGTAGTTCACAAAATACAGAACACTCTGAGTTCTTATTTTGTAGAGGGAACTGCTTTTTTAAGCTTTACTTTTAGGAGGCACAATTCTGATTAATATACTGTGATATATGACAGTTTAGCTTAAATATAATTTAGTTTATTATTGAACACTGTTTAGGGGAATATTTTGTTTTCATACTTAACTAAAAGGCTTAACAGGTAGTCGAATGTCTACTTTATTACTGTAACGGTTTAACAATGTGTATTATTTGACCAATCATATTTATATTGTACAGTTATGTGTTGTTTCCTGAAAACCAGAGTTCTGTAGGGATCAAGATAATTCAGATTTTTTGGATCACAGCTATCATCTCTAAACGGTATTAAAAGAAACATACACAAAGTTTTATCCTGATCAACACCAAGACTGGATCTGTTTTCAGAATCCTGTCTTTTGAACAACAACATTTTAAAGATTTGATCCACTCTTGTAGCCAAAATTTGATCGGATTACTTCTGAACAGATGGATCTTCAATGGTAGAATTTTCCTCTTCCTGATGTCTTTGGAATTCAGCTCGCCTCTTGATTGATGTTCACGTCTGTTTACTTCATATCTCACATGGAGGCAGTGAAATCTTCCCAATGATATATAAGCCACGTTTAGTGATTTATGGGAAGGCTGCAAGGTGAGAAACAGAGCTGAATGCTTTGACCATGTGGAGGACAGGTGAAGATTCTTACTTCTGGCTTTTCGGGTTGACTTTGATTATTAGGCTCCGTGATAAAAGCAGCGTCCAGTCACCGACACTCTGTCCTCCCACCGCTCTCCATTAAGATCAACGGGGCGACTCTGACAGCGCTGCTCCGAGCCTCCGCGAATCCCTTTTTTTTTTTTTTTACCGGCCGGCCTCCCTGACATCAGTGCGATAGAAGCCGTTATTCCTCCTGACCATGAAAGAGACACACTGTTTGTGTGAGTCATCTGTGGACCGAGCTGTGTGTCAGGCTGATGGAAAAAAAAAAAAGAGAGGTCCCTGCCTCCCAGACCAGCGTGCTAATCAGTAGAAGGATGTCAACTGTAGAGAAAGCAGCATGGTGTGAAAACCTTGAACAGAGGGATGAGTTCAGTCGTGTTTGTTGTGCTCTGCAGCCGAGCTCTGTGCTGTGGGTCATTCTTCAGCATGTTTCATCCCATCGATCCACCGGTCGAGCTGGAAGTATATTCAATTTATGGCCTGAATTAAAGCTCCTTTAGTCTGCCTTCTTTTCTTTTCTTTTTTTTTTTCTGCTGCTCATTATCACATTTGATTTTCTTATTATTGATGGAATCTTTCACTGTCACACTCAGTTAGGAGTTATAATCTAAAGTGGTCTTCACGCACCCTCGACACGCCGTCTTTTATGAATCTGCAGTCATTGTGCTTTCATGTAATGTGTTTTGACGATTCCATAATGCCTCTTCTGTCTCTTTTTGTGGACAGATTATAGATAATGGGCTGTGTGCAATGCAAGGATAAGGAGGCAACCAAACTCACAGACGACCGAGACACCAGCATCTCCCAGGGAGCCGGGTACCGCTATGGGGCCGACCCCACGCCGCAGCACTACCCCAACTTCGGGGTCACCGCCATCCCCAACTACAACAACTTCCACGCCCCCGTCGGCCAGGGGATGACCGTCTTCGGAGGGGTCAGCACTTCCTCTCACACTGGAACACTGAGGACTCGTGGTGGAACGGGTAAGTGGACCCTAGAATGTACCTCGTCATGATCAGAAACGTGTGGAAAATCCGTAGAAGTTTTCCTCCTGCTTGTACATTCTGCTCATGTATAATATATCCAACTTAAAACGCTGATGTGTTTTTAAAAACTTGAATGATGAATGGCAAACAGAGTTGTGATGAATGAGAATGAATTATATAAAATCAAGGCTGTTTTTCATTAAATGGGGATTCATTCTTCAAAACATCAGTTCTGTTTTAATCCAGTCGTTCATGTCTCTTTCAAAACAAATCTTTTCTTTTTTGTTTGTTTTTTTGTGAACTCTCTGGTAACTTAAGTGTCAGTTATCTTTCTCTCTCTCAGTTGAATAAATGCAGCACAAAACCGCTGTTCGTTTAATCCAGATCTAATTAAAATCAGATCCATGTCCAGATCGCAATGCCAGCGCACGACAGTCCAGATGCTTTTCTCCCCATAGCTGCCGACCTGCTCTTGTCTTAGGGGGATCCCATTTTGTGTGGCTATTGTTGGGTATCCATCCAGTTGGATGCACCGGTAGTACTGTCACCATGCAAAAAATAAATATATCTCATAATAACCGTTGACTTTTTCAGCATATTTGAATGAGAAAACACTTGGTCATCTTTGAAAATTGAAAGTGCTGATTAATAACGGTGATATAGTCAAACAAATGACACATAAAATTGTCTTTTCGTTTTTGTTGCAAAGACAAATCTGCATCTGTCTGTTGCATTGCATCCATGCTGCCTCTAAAATCCTGATTGAGCACAGTACAGATGAGTCAAGACACTATGAAGTAAATTGATTGAAGTTGCTTGTAGATTTGCAATCGGGTAACAGAAAAGTTCGACAAAAGCATCCTCCCGTTTACAGTACTGACACACCGTTCTTCCTGCCTAGATAGTCTCGGGACATTATGGTTTCGTACATTTTTGTGGAGTCCAAAACAGACAGAATAACCTTTTCATCTGTAACAGGTTGCTCTCAGGTCTTGTCATGGACAGCAGTGATCTTATTAGTTGCAAATTGGAAGGTCAATGCCAAACAAAGTCAAAGTTGAAACTAATTGAACTTTCACAGCAAGTGAAGCACGAAATCCGACGAAGTGTAGCAACAAAGTTTCGAGTCTTTGGAACAGAAGAACAATGAGTCACTGTGATGCAAAAGAAGTCTGCACATGATTATGCGTGGAGAGTTGAGATCTTCAGAATTTGAACCCGATCTGAAACAGAATTGTAGAAAACCTACCCAAATCCAACGTCCATAAACCTCATCCTCAAATAACTCACATGATCCATACTTGAATTTGATTGCTTATGCTCCCAAAAAAAAAAACTATCCACAGGTGTTACCAATATTCAATAGGGTAACTCTACATACTTTAGATATTTTTTAGCTACTTACATTTTTCCATTTTAAGTTTCCATCCTCCTTTCCTATCCGCTCTGTGTGAACATAGCCTGCAGTTTAGCCCAAAGGTTTTGTCACACGACTGTTGGCCACACGTTTTGTTCTTTGCAGAATCTGGTTAATGCAAATGCTTTTGTTTTTGTTGGAGTTGGGTTTTTTTTCCGCAAAATTTTAAATGAGATCTGTAGAATAAAAGGATTACGATGAAATATCAGAATTTTAAGCTTAGATTTTTCTATATGTTTCAAATGTAGCAGAACGTTAAAGATAAAGTTGGAAAGTTGAAAATCCAACATTTCCTTCTGTTTTTACAGTTTCTTACTCCGAGAAATTGTGTAATTTTGTCAATTTTATAAAGACAAATCGCCTTACCAATCCATCAGCGGGTTTGGAGGTTCAGAGGGTTTTCAAGCAGCCTTTGTGGAAACGTGCAGCGATGAAGGAAGAACAATATTACATATTCACAGTGAAATGCAGCCAACCAAATTTGTATGACTTGAATTTGAAAACCCTATGACTCAGCCAAGTGCAGACCTCAGCGAGAAGTCCTTAAAAATTCAACACACGTGGTTATGTGCTACCTTCTCCAAACACAAGTGTCTACAAAAGAAGGGCAGCACAAAGACTCTGCTGTCACGGCCCACCTGTGTTTGGATCCCACCGCCTCCATGTTCTTTCTCCAGGAACTCTGGATATGTTCTTTATAGCATTGCACTGCACAAGTGGGAGTAACTTTGCACATTTTTCCGCTGCCCCCTGATTCTGCAGTCAATGTGGGGTTGCTGTTCGACAATACAACAAGCACTTCTTTTGAAGCGTGCTGAGGCTTTGATAGTTGGGCTTAGACCAGGCAGTTTGATCCCTGGAGGAACAAAACAAAGAGCAGTGCTTTCCCTGCTCCTATTAACACCACTGCTGTGACGTGGGACCTTTACATCCGACTGCTTTTGCGGAGCTGCTCTGTGGCCAGCAGGTCAAACCTTGGTTTACTGGTCAACTTCCAGGTGTGAATATGCATGACTGAAAAGGAGAGCTTTACGGTCACTGGAACTTGCCCAATTAAAAAAGTTAGTACAGGAGTAAAGATCAAATCTTGGGTCTCCGAAAGTCAGCCTCTCACCTCTGAGCCGTCCTGTTGTAGAGTGAGGGTAGAAATAGAAATGCTGCTCAGAGATGGATGATATTTGGAAGAGGATGAGCAACAAAGAGAGGGCAAATGGTTAATTTGAGGGGTATTTCTTTGAGAAATTATTTTTTGTTGTTTGACAGAAAAAGGGAACATATCTCCAACACAGCCTGAAGTGTGAAGGTCATTTCTTTTTTATTTCGTTCCCACACAGTTACAGGGCTCCGTTCGCCCGGTGATAGTTGTGTGAGAACACTCGATTACAGCCGCCCACACACACCTCCATACACAAAAGCACAAACTATGAGGGATTCTTTGTGCTGTTAAAGACTTCCCATGACATCCCGAAATCCTGACAATCCTCACCTCGCAGCCGCCGCTACAGCTCCCCTCCCGACCCCAGCCCAGCCCTGTCAGGAACGTCCGGCTGGCATTAGCGCGGGGCTTTGTCCACCGGGCTCATTGTTTAGGTAGGGAATATTCCTACTCAGGATATCCTTTATATTTGACTGAGCCCAGGCTGCTGTGCAGAGGAACTCAGCATTTCCACTCAACTTAGCAGGAGACCTCTCCCTCAAAGTGTGGATTATTTTCTGCACTGTATAATCCAAATCCACACAGTGGCAGAGGAGCAGAGAGGGGTTTAGCGTTTTAATTTTCTCCTGGTGGGAAAATTTGGACATAAGCTGCCCTTCTCTTTCAACCTCTGTTATAACACAGCTGCCCAGCTTGTTTGACTAACAGCCCCTATCACCCCCCCCCTCCTCTTCAGTCACACTGCAGCAGCAGCCAAGCTGCAGTCAGCATCAGAGGTCTCATTGATTATCAGTTGATCTTCTGCTGATGTCATTTCCCCAAATGGAAATTCACAGCCAGTCCCATAACCTTATGTAACTAATTGAATGGCATGCCAGCAGACAACCCCGGGATGAATCGATAAACCAGTTTAGACCTCGCACCCACCTCTGCTGACCTAATGGAACATCCAAGCGCTGCAAACCACAGCTGTTATGCAGAGAGCGCTTCAGTCAGACGCTCTCTTTAACAGTCTGCTCTCCCTACTCTTTGTTTGTTATCACATAAATAGCAGCAAGTCCCTCTCTATCTGCAGTCTGATCAGCCGGAGCCTCACGCAACCTCTTCATATCAATACTGCTTCCTAAGAAAGCCTCAGTCTGGTGAGAGTCTCTGATGTGAAGTGACTTGAATTAATGCGATCAAGCGTAGAGTGTAAGTGGACTTTGAAGAAGTGCCCATTCGACTTCCATTTGTCAGACGCTCAGCAGCATGAAACAGTTTAACAGCTGCAGTCATCTCAGACTTGAGTAAACTTTATGATGAAGGAAGACCAATCAAGCTAACTGAACATAGTTCAAAGTAAAGAATCAAGCTTGTAATTAAGCTTGTATCCAGCAGTATAATGCAGTTTTATTGTCATGGTTTAGGCCATCGTTATTATTATTTATAATAGCAACATTATGTTTACTGAGTTGTAGTTTCTGAAATGGTGCAAGAAGCATGATTTAATTGGAAGCAAAAACAAAAAGAGCTTAGCCCAAAGTGTGTCGTAAACATCCTTCCCAGTGTTTAACCTACTGTACTTAGTAGCAGTGTGCACACATGTTGGCAAAGAGATGCACTTTAAGTTTGCTCATCTGTAATTTAACCACCAAATCTGAATCTCTAGATAAACTGTTGGATAGACTGAAAATGGGCCTATATATATATTAAAACTAACATTGACTCAAGGTCTAAATCTAGTGATGGAGTAGTAAACTGACATCATTCTTTCAATCTCTGAACCCCAAATCACATTTCTACTCACTGTGGGCTCATTTTTCACTGCAGTATAAAGTCCTGTTGCACTACTGTGGTAACAGCACAACCATGGCTCAAAGTGGAAAGAACTTAAAACTGTCTTTTGTGCAGTGTGACACAGTTATAATACCATAAATCATAGGGAAAAAAGTAGAATTTCTTTGATTATTTATTTTTGCATTCATTTAAAAGACTTGGAATCAGCATCTACAACATTTTTCCACGGGCCCTCAGGTCTTACTAATAGTGGAAAAAACTGGTGGCACTACATGTCACATCACTGTTGGTCACAGCTGAGTCACTAATGGCTTCACAGTTGTGCTGACGTGCATAGAATTTGTTGGGGGGGTTGTTTTGTTTTTTATAGTATTTGGTTAGAACAACCAGTTTATCTATGATGAATTTTTAAATGCAACGTATAGAATAAATTGATTTCGATTAAATGTTGTGATTTTAAGCTTAGACGTTGGCAATCTTCTCAATGAAATGGAGCATTACAGATGAGTAGTTCAAGGACAATCCAAAGGATGAAAACCTGACCATTCTTACTTTTTTCTTTTTTTTTTTTTTTTAGTTTCCAGCTGAGATGAATGGTATAATTTTGACTTTTCTTTTTTATTTCTTTTTTTTTTATAAAGATAACCTGTCAAATCTGCGAGTGAGTTTTGAGTTTCTAAAGGTTCATTGCCGAGCTTCTCCATACTCTAGTTTACATTAACCACCGTTAATACAGTTGTTGTACATTGCAATGCAATTTACAAAATACCTTGACAACCAATAAGATAAGAGATTAGATCAAACTTTATTTTTCCCGACTGAAATTCTTTTGAAGGATTATTGCTCAAGAAAAAACAAAATGACATAAGAAATGCAGTGCCGAGTAGAAAAGCTATAAGACGCAAGTGTGATATATTACTGAAAATATAATAAGTTAACTAAAATAAGACTAGAGTAAAAAGTAATGTTTGCAATGATATTTATACTAAAGATCAGTATGTAATTACCAAACACCCACCGTGAGACCAACACAAAAAACCTTTTGAGTACTTCAAAATTCAAACAGTAGCCTGTAGCCAGCTTTCATTTGCAGGTTTATTCACAGGTTTATGTCTTGTCTTTTTATAGATGGGCTTTGTAGGCTGGCATGTCCCACATCAATTTGATTCATTTAGAACGGTGTGATCTCATGATGAGACTGATCTGCAACCGCACTGAACACGAGGTGAATCAGAAGGGAAAATGCAACATTTTCTTCTGTGGAAATACAAAGTGAGTGCATGATTCTCCACTTAGAGAAGTACGGAAAAACCCAAAGACGTCTGGTGAGGTTTAAGGACATACCCTCAGTACTTTGCCATTAATAAGTGAATTGTAGTCAGGCTAGATCTGTCCTAAATACATATTTAGAGTAAAGGAAGTGTATGATATGTGTAATTAAATACTCCTACTACTATGCCAGAGGTAGGTTGGTTCACTGTTATAGTCGTTGCTCACCCAGCCATCATTAGACTCGATCGTTAGACTGTAGAAGTGTAAATTGGACATTCAGATGAATTACATAACCGCCGTATTGTTGTTTCACACTTTCCTAGTTTTGCACTGGCAGAACTTTCTCCAACACCTGCCATGTCTGAGTCAAAATCACTGCAGTTTTCTGTTACAACCAGACATGCAAACAGCATGAAAAAGTTATGGAGGTACATTGATGATTTGTCCTTAAAAAGAATGTGTTAAAACACTTTCTAGTGCCTTTTTGCAACAGACAATTCTGCTCTAATTCAGCCAGTGAGATGCTCCCGGTCTTGTCCATGCGGAGAGCTGTTGGTGAGGCAATGCTGGAATGACGGGAAAAGGTTTTTCAGGCCATTGGTCTTTATCTAGAGTTTTAGACTGTCTGATGGGAGTCAGACTGGATCGAAGCAGCCCAAATCTCAGCTTCTGTTGCTGGACAGTTCAATGAAGAACCTCTGGCTGTGCTGCTAGGTTAGATTCACATTACTGTCAGTTCGCCCAGCTCAGGTGGTGGACTTGCTTCAGGCAAACAGAAACGCTGGCTTGAAAGGTCAATTTTGCACCTTTGCAAAGCCTCTGAAATTGTCCTGTAGGGATTTTGGAGATGCTCTTGTTAGGGGGGAAAAAAACCCCACAACAAATCAACCAATAAAGAGCAGAAGGTCTTATTCTCTGACTGTGGTTAGAAGAATTCAAGGTAATTTAATTACAAATGCAGTCCTCAAACTATTACATAACCCTGCCACCTCAATTAAAAACATGTAAAAATGAGTGCTCCTTCATTTCACAAGTTAATATTACATTTTCTTCAATTGAATTCAAGCAGTATTGAAACAAGACCTCCGTGCGCTGGTTCAGTTTGACCCCCTGAGATCCTCCACTGACAGCATGTGTTCATTTGTGTTGCTAAATACTTGTCTTCATCTGTTCGCACATCTTCGCTTATTCATGTTATATTCATGCTTTACCCACAGCCTTGAGTTCTTTCTCTTCCTCATTTGTATTATTGACCTCCTGCCGTTATCTGTTAACACATCCTACAATGAGCCCAAACTGCTTTATCACATTTGCGTCAAGCAAGCAATAAGTAGGAACGCAAGGGTGAGAAAAAAATCCCTGCGAGACAAGTGCTACTGGGAGGTATTAATATGACAGCTACTGTTCTTTTTTACTTCTGCGATGAGAGTGAAATTAGGAGGATTAGTGGGGAGGGTAGATGTAGGAGAGGGGATAAGGGAAGGTGACCTGATCGTCTTTATAGAGAGAGGATTCTGCAGAGGTTAGTCTACCAATAAGAAGCCACGGAAAGCTGTCTTAGTGATGTATCACGGTTAATAAAGGTTAACAATACAGCAAGACGAGACTCCCCGTGTGCTTGGAACTAGCTGCTTTGTACAACGTGTCGTGTGATGACGCTGAAGAGTGTTTATGGCTGCCCTGAATGGCCACACTTGAGGCAGAATGAAGTACCTGCTGCATTAAGCTGGATTTATGATGTGTCCAAACTGCATGTTGGATGGTTGGAAACTGACAGTCCGACATTCACACCCACTTCACGCTGTCACCGGCCAGCTGTGGAGAGGCGAGAGGAGCCGGACACTGTGCTGCTCTTTGTAGCTCTTTTCATTCATTTGTTTCTCAGCCGTTTGTCTTCATGTGAACAACCCAACACCATCAACGCCTCCCTGGAAAGATTGCCTGATAATACGCCCCAGTGTATCTGTTCAAAACAACTTAATTTCTAACGCGGTCGGACAGGACGTCTTTAGAAGTAGTTCGCAGGGACCAAAACCAACCGTTATCCTCCTCCCTGATCTCTCTCCAAGAATCCTCCTGTGGCTCTCGACGCAATTAATCACACAAACGGGAATAGGAGTGCAAACATTCGGACAGTCTATTCATTGGCATTCATAGTTTCGCACTCAGTTGTACACACAAAAAGCGATGGTAGCACTTGTGAAGAGTGAAAGTGGGGGAGCTTGAGAGGAAAGTTTAGACGCTGGCCTGCAATCACAACTTCACAGCTTTCAGAAAGTTACTGAAATTGCCAATGTTGGAAAGGTTTTAGGATCCAAAATGCACTTTGTATAAAGACAGACAGTGGTTGAAGAAGTACACAAGTATGACCAACAAAATGTACTGTGTCAAGTATTAAAGTAAACTTGATTTATTATGATGTATGACATCATTGGATTATTAATACTGAAGCTTTCATCTGTAAACAGCATGTTACTGTTATAGCTGCTGCAGGTGGAGCCAGTTTGACTTCATATCCAACTTTATACACAAGGAAACCAGATAAATCTGAGAGGTCATGAAATGATTAATGGAGAGGAAACTAGACAAAACAAACTGATCCATAAATCTGTTTTCAGTTTTTGGACTTTTTCTCTAATCTTCGCATTTTAATGCAATAATGGCTCATTTTAATTTCTACTGAAATGAAACCATGTGAGACACTTGGATCGAAAACTGATTTCGTGAGACTTGAGAAACAAAAAGGTTGAAACTGCCGTTTTATTCTTTGGCTGTTTGTTGTATTCTAAAAGCTTGTTATGTTATCCACTGTGTAAAGTCTTAAAAGTAACTAAAGCTGTCAAATAAATGTAGTGCAGTAGAAAGTTTAATATTCTCCTTCTCACATAAAATGAAAAGTCCCTCAAATAGAAAAAAAGTGAAACTGCAGCTGATGGAAAGGTCATGATTTTTGCAGGTGTTTCATCAGAAACCAAAGTATTTGAGATATTTGCAACTGATATTTAATTGTATCCTTGGCCAGAAATGAGATGAGTGAAAAAGCAGGGTTATTAACACACTTATTATTGTACGTATTCGCAGCAAAATACACACATTATCATTGCTCAAATGATTGAAAATCCAGTTGTATTCACTGAGCACCTGAAACCGAGGATAGCATCCAGAACGATCTAAAGCTGGACTCATTTTAATCCTTGGGGCACTTCAGGTTTCCAGACTTCTCATATTTTAATTCCAGCTGTTCTTTTTGAATTTTAAAATCATGTTTTTATCATATTACCAACATTGCCTTGCAATATTTTTATTGTCATGGTTGTGTACGTTTCTTGATTGAATGGCTACATCTTTTATTTGGTTAGTCGGCTGTATTGTAAATGAGGCCGTCCTGCAAACCTCAGTGTCGTCCAAGTTTAAATAAAGATTGAATGAATGATGCATCCTCTGGGAGCCATGAATTTTTCTACCAAATGATGTGCAAATCCACTGAGTAGATCTCGAACTATTTCAGTTTGCTTACTAAAGAGTTTGACCCGCTGATGGTGCCAGAGAAAAGCCAGGGAGTCACTTCGTTACATTTGATTTATCCTATGAGAATCATGAATGTTTGTACAAAAACGTAAAAAACGTTGAGGCCAAACCTCAAGCTCTGCTGCTAGCATGGCTGAGAACAACGTTGACCTCCAACAAGACAAGTGTCTGAAGCGAAACATGTACTAAAACTTCATTATAAGGAAAACCTTTCAAACTTCCACCTCTAAAGGCCTGTTTTCACTCATTTACATTATCAGCTAAAAAAAAAAACCCTGTCAGTGCACGCTTGATACGTATGCATCGGCCTCAATAGCTTTCTTGTCTAGACTGTAATTCTTTGTTCAAGCTAATGAACTCCATTAGCTTGGATGTAACAGACGTACATTTCTATGCAAGTCAAACACTCTAGCTTTAAATTGAGATTCAGCGCAGGGATCGGTCCCTGTTTACTCGGTGTCCTGAAGCTGACGACGCAGATGACTTTAGTTTAATGTGTAATTTTCAGCTTCATTTTCTGCTGCTAATCTGCAGAGCGCTGACTCTGTGTTTCTGTCCCTCCTGCAGGAGTCACCCTCTTTGTGGCACTTTATGACTACGAGGCGAGGACAGAAGATGACCTCAGCTTCAGGAAAGGAGAAAGGTTCCAGATTATCAACAGCACGTAAGTCGCTGCAGCTGCTTATCAGACCGTCTGCACTCAGGAGGAATGCAAGTTTTCCATTTTATGACTCTGTCTTGAAGGGGATGGTGCTGGGAGGGGAGCACAATCAGCTGAGGTAAAACTGGCGGTTTGTATACGGAAAAGAAGTGTCATGGTTTCATAATCTGGAGCAGGATGGAGCCTAAATTAAGTCTGCTTTACTGCTTCAGTTTGTAGAACTATAAAAGTCATGTTCAGCTCCTAACAACTAACCTGGCAGACCCAACACTGAATTATTTTACACATCAAAAAAGTCTTAAATCCAAAGTGAATGTTCAAGTAGGCCAGAAATGGAAGAATCTCTCCGTGGGACACAGTATTAAAGGGTGTAGAGTATTTTCAAAAGTGGCGGCTTGAACATGCAATATGACAATCGGGAGTAAATACAGTTTATTTAAAGTTTACGCAGGGTGGAGCAGGGTCTCCAGCCAGCAGTGATGAGTGTGGTGCTCCTTCAAGACTTCCCTCTGAACTTGGACAGGAAGTGCCCGGTTACACCCACAGCGATGTTGGCTTGTCTTTCCTCTAGTCAGCAGAACTGCAGACGATCATCTGCCAGCTCTTTAACCATCCTGGCCTCGGCTTGCGGATGGTTTTCATTTTCTTTGTGTCTGCGCGAGGCTGCGTCTCAGCCTGCCGGAGTGATTCTGGGTTGCCTCTCTGTTTGTTTGGGTTTCTGCAGCAGTGCGGTGACATTTGAGGAAGGCAGGGAGACTGCTGGGACTACGCTCTGACCCCGTTCTCCTTTAGATTAAGGCTACTCATGTACAGAACAGTACTGCAGAGAGAAGGCAGGTTACTGTGACTGTGTGTTTTCAGATTTAAACTGATTAAATAGCCGTCTACTACGCTGCTCAGGCTCTGATTTCTGTGCAAATAGGTAAACATGAAGCCCTGTTATTACTGGATGTTTAGCGTAAGTTTAGTTTTACAGTGGTTCTTCGACTGAAATAAAGCTGAAACAATGGAAATGCTATTTATATCAGAGTATAATATAACAGTAGGACTTAAGCATAAACTTGGCAACTGTACTTAATATTAATGTTTTTATCAAGGCTGGATTTTGGCTCTGATCACCCAGTTTGGACTACTTTAGACTTTAAATAGCAGGTACTTAAAGCAGGTGTGAGGTGGAGCGTGTGTTTACAGGAACGACCGCCTAATTTTCAGTTTCAGTCTTTCTGTTTCCGTTGCACTTCGACTATAATTTCAACTGCAAGTGTGCAAAGGTAACAAGCTTTAGTGAATGTAACTCCAGTTCTCTGAGCACGAAGGACATAGAGCAATAGAGGGTTTGCTATGTCGGCCTGTATAGTGAGTGTTACACTGGATACTTTACAATATTATCATGTGCATGCTGAGCCCCAGTCAGTTTTTGTTCCTGTTGCATTTTTATTCACTGTGGGCTCGTTTTTTAACTGCAATATAGTGTTGTATACTTCTAAGGAAACAGAACAACCATAGCTAGAAAAGTGAGGAAAATTCAAAAATGTATTTTGTGTTGTATCACTAAGTTATGTCATAAATTTAAAAAAAAAAAAAAAAAGGTCAATTTCCTAAATTATTTGTTTTCCTAAACTGAAAACTACCTGGAATCAACATGGAAAACATTTTCCCAAGTGCTCATGAGTTTTCCCAAAACTGGAAACATATGCTGGATATTTTACTACTTGCATGTTTAATGTGTTTCCACATTGTTTCTTATCTGCTTTGTGCAAACAGAGTTTGCATTTTAGCCCAGTTCAGCCAAAATGTTGTGAATTTTTGTTAAGTCACTAATGGCTTCACAGCTGCGTAGAGGAAAACAGAAATCTTTGGATTTTTTTAATGAATCTGTTTAGAGCAAACATAAGACATGCAGAATAAAATGATTTTCATGAAATATTCTGATTTTAGGATAAGATTTTCTTCAAGACAGCATGTCACAGTTAAGTATTTGAAGGACTGTCAGAAAGTTAATAGAATTTGGAAAAAAAAACAATTCTTTCTGTTTTTACGCTTTCTGGCTCAGATAAAGGGTGTAATTTTGACATTTTTCTCATTTCTCTTTCCTTTCGCACCTACTGGCACATAAATGAGTTCAGAGGGTTAACTTGCTATAAGTATTTCAATTTTTAAACATGATTTAACATCATTATATCTCGACACCCCTAAACTGTATTTCTGAAATTCCGGCCTGGTTATTGTGAAGTTCTCATTATGTAGCCTGAGAGACTAATTTTAGGGAAAAACATGATTGTAGGATAAATAATGCCACTTTCTAGCAGCTAATGATTCTGATTGTCTCCTCTAAACAAGCACAAACTGTGGTTTCATGCAAACATTCAGTATCTTGAGTATGAAATGTAAATGCAGATGTCATGTAAGACATCCCCTGATGAATTTTTCAAACACTCCACTGTACGTGACGGCTTCATCACCTTAGCTTTTGGCCCAGCAAGGTCAGCCTTCCTCTCCACCACACCCACCAAGCATCCTGTCCCGGCCGGCGTCTTCCACATTCCACCACACACACCTCTATCCCTGCTGGGCCACAGCCAGAGCAGGAAGACCCCTTCATCAGAGGCCGGGCTCCCTCCTCTTCCTCCTCCTCCTCCTCCTCCTCCTCCTCAGCAGGAGCCAGACAGAGCTGCATCTTCACCTCCTCCCGCCTCTCTTCTCCGTCCACCCACGCCTCAAATATGGACCGGGCTTCTCCCGACTGCCCACACTGACCCCTGCTGGACGAAGGTGGTATCAAGCCCACAGCTCTCGTCTGCTCCGGCCTGTCAGAGCTGGCAGGGAGTGACTGACAGATGCCAGAGCAGGCGGGGCTCACGTGAAGAAGGCCCCGCCAGAGATTCCAGCGCCACCGCCTTGCCTGACAGAAGGCCCCGTTGTCCCTTTGTGTTACATGATGGCATCCTCCAGGAAACAGGCCCCGCATCCCCCAATGTTTATAAGTCAGTACATTCAGCTCAGGCTGTTTATAACCCTCCACGAGTGTGTTATTGTGAAGCTTCATCAGACATAATCAGGAAACGGCTCCTGTTTTTACGGAATGCAACACGTCTGCGCTGTTACTAAATTCAATTAGAATTGTTCAGATATGCTATGAATAAACACGCTGTGGCGTTGTGAATGGATGCTTGTGTGACTCCTCTCAGTCGACACGGTCCTGTGTTTAATTATACTCTCGTGAGCAGTCACTACAGGGGAAGAGGTTTCGAATCCATTTGGAGACAGGAGGGAGGCTCTTTGTGTGCTCTTGTTGTTGTTTTCTGTCTCTTTGTGGCGATGCAGAGTTGGTTTAAGGGGGTTTGTCTCTGGAGACAAAAGAGGCAGCGGGACAGACTGGGGCCCACCCCACCCTGTCTGTTTATGTCTCTCCGGCTCCATGCAAACACACATACCAACACTTCGCACACCACACAAACACATCCTCTCACTCCTGCATACTTTTTTTTTTTTTACCCTCAGAAGAAGGATTGTTGAGACTCCATCTTCCCCTCTCTGCCTCCCCTCCCTCTCCTCCTGAGGGATCCTCTGCGAACAAAGGGAAGCGTGCCTGTTTCTGCCTGGGATGTCGTCCCCAGGCGATCCCCCCATCACGGCTTTATTCAGCATAAATGAAGGACCAACACTGCCTCCTCACTCCTCCCCCCTTCCTCCACTCCCTTCTGTCTTTAGCATCCCTCTCACACACACATAAACACACACCAGTGATGGAAACAAGCACCGGCTGGTACAGTGCGTCACAGAGACACTGTCAAAGCGCAGAGATGGGGGGAAGGAAGTGCACATGTGTGATTGTGCATTCATGTGTAAGCACTGGTAACGATGGTTAACCACCGCCGCTAGCTGTCCCCGAAGGCAGCCGGTTATTGAAGAGGAGAGTGGAGGAATGAAGGAAGACGGAGGGAGTTGGTGGAGAGAAGACAGATGACACCACAGAAAACTCTTCAGTCTGTCAACTTTAGTACAGCATATTAAAATGCACATTTTTTATCTCTTCAGCGAGTCCCATGAAAAAAATCTAAACCAATAATGTGTTACCTCACGTTTCAGGACTGTCTGGTTTCCCTACTGCGCCTCACCCCTAAAGTTACAACTTGTGTTGTTATTTAAAACAGGGTCAGAAATATCTTTTTAACCCTCTGAACCACAAAACCCACTTGCATATTAAATGCATATTTTCTTTTATTTTTAATTGTCAAAATTACATTATTTTTCTGACCACAACACTGTAACAACAACAGACAGAATCGCCCGGATTTTCAACTTTACAATGGTTCTTGAAACATTACATGCCATTCCATTGGAAAACTTAACCAACTCTAAGCTCAGAATCCTGATATTTCATCAAAATCACTTTAAGCAGCATGTCTCACTTAAAAATTTACCAACAATATATTGTTTGTTCTAGCTCGATTCTGTAAAAAGCTAAATATTTTGGGCTCCTTGGTGCAACCCTTAAGCTGTTAGTAACTACCAGCAGCAGTCACATGACAAAACTTAAGGGATTTCTCAACTAAACTGCAGGCCGTGTTTACACAGAGCAAAGAGGAGTACTAAAGGAGTACTTTAGGAAACTAAACATCTAAGTGGTAATATTTGACAGTTTTAAAAAAAGGAAAAGGGTAAAGTAATGCACTGTGGCACGATGAATCGCCAAGCAAGAAGGTTTTGTGAGTGTCTCTTTTTTTAAATTCCAACATTGACGAACCACAGAAATGGCGAGGCTGACATGTCTATATTAAATAGACGGAAATCAACCACGAAAACACTTCGTCTGAAGTGTTATTTTTTTCCATTCGATAACTGCTCAATTTAAAGGGTATGGTTCCACCTGGAGGTATTTCCAGCACAATATTCAGATGGATGATAAATAATAAGAATGAAACGCTGAGATGATGCTTGACTATCTAAAAATACCTATAGTAGTTTTTTCCATTTTTGTAAAATAAATAATCAAAAGACTTCAACATTATCATTCTTTTTTCATCATTAAATACATGATAACTGTGCCGTATTGTACGGAAGATATTTTTGAGTTCTGTCTACTTCTTGTCATCGTTGTGCTGTTTATAGAGATGCAGAACTTTATATTGCAGTAAAAGGGCTTGAATTGTGTTTGCATCCACCTGTTAAACCAAAAAAAACTAAAGAGGTGAAAAAGTTGTGATGATTAAAACAAAATGCAGTGTGAAAGCACCCACTGTACTGAAGACACAAAAATGGCAAAGAGATGGCAGCTTTCCTCAAACTAAAACATGAAAACAAACAATAATGTCCGAAATCCATCATTTGAGGTTTGACTGGAGCTCTTGATTATGTCCCCTCTTTTACAGTGTCTTTATTTGCATTTAAATTGAGATCCATTTATCTTGCTGTACCAACTCCTAATATTTTCAGAAATATCTGTAAATCCGTTTAAAATTTGGACAGTGATTTGATTAGTTATTTTTGTCAAGATAAAATATTGTGTGTGTCTCCATGAGAACAAAGAACCATGTGTGCCCAGTGATGTGGTTTTAATAGACGTGGACGACAACAGAGCTTTATGGCACAATGGAAAGAGATTTATAAGGCTTTGGATACACACACAGTACTTGATATAAGATATAGTCATTGTTAGATGTGGTCATTTATGGACTTGCTCCATTTGTTAGAATTACTTTTAACAACACAGACATGGAAGTACAGTAAATTGACCTCATATATGGCGAGGGCAATTGTGCGTATAAAATGGAGTAGCCATGACACTGAAGAGGATCAGAGACTACTCTTAAGATTTTCCATGAGTCTATAAATCAATATCTGCGGCTATTTTCAATGGATTTCTGACTGAATGATTGTCAAGCATCATCTCAGCATTTAATTCATTTTGTTTGTCGTCCATCTGAATATTGTAGCAGCGTTGGAAATGGAAACGCTTTTAATTCAAGCAGTTACGAAAGCAACTAAATATGCAAACTAATGAAAGTGTTGCGATGATTTATTTGCCCTCCAAGCTGGACAGATGGTCAGATGTTGCCATTTTTGTGGTCATCCAATGTAAGAATTTACATAAAGCCACAAAACCTTCTTATCTGGAGATTCCTCATGGTAAAGTGCTTTACTTTACCCTTTTCTTTTTTCAAACTGGTCAAAAATTAATTTTTCATCAACCATTAAATGAATTTCCATGCATTTTAATTCTACTGTTGCTTCGACAGTCCAAATATGTAAAATAACAGCAAAAAAAAACCATTTTGCCTTTTAAAATGTAAAGATATGAGGAAGTAGGAAGCGTAATGGACTTTGTGAGCCCGCCAAAAGGACGGAATATGAAAGAAGAAAAAATGAAATAAGAGGAGTGTGAGAAAGGGACGATGATAGGACATGAACAGCAGAGTGTTGGACACATGAAAGCGGTTTAGAATGGATGGGTCCGGTGGTTAGTGAAGGAAGATATGCACAGAGGACATCAGAGAAAGACACTAATGGCTATGTGGGCGTCCAGTCTGAGAGGTCTTCAAGGAGCTTCTCCTCCTTCCTCCTCTGCTCTTCTTTCACTGAAAAGACATTTAGCCGACACCCCTTTCAAAGCCGTGAACCCTGATTCATGTGTTTCCAACATCACACACAAGCAGCTGAGTGCAGAGGCTGAAGAAGCAGCCCAGAGACAGGGAAAATATCATCTTCTGGCTTTATTTATCTGAATGGAATATTTGAGCATTTCAGGATATATGCTCATGTGCTTTCTTTCTGTAAGGTTGTTGTTTGTGCCTTAGGCCTGGAGTTGAGAAATTGTTAGCTTAGCTTTGCATGAAGTCTGAAAGTGAGGGGGAACGGCTAGCTTGGCTTTGGCCTTAGTTGAAAAGGAAATAACGTAGATATGATGGTCTGTTATACTTCAAACAGCTGATACTGTGTGCCCATGAGGGGAATCATGCGATAAGCTCAATTTCACTAAATAATAACTGAAAAGTAAAACTATTTCTTGGCTTTCTTGTCTTTGGTGTGAGAGGAGAAGATGCGACTAATGTTGTATATGTGCTTTAGCTAGGAGGATAATTTAGCTTAGCTTAGCATAAAGACTAGCTAGTTTGCACCACTCTGTCCAAAGTAAGAAAAGAATGCATCTACCAACAAATATAAAGTTGTCTCATTCACATGTTTTATCTTTATTTTTAGCACATATTAAAAGCAAACAAACAAAAAAAAGCTTCAGAAGCTGTACATTGTTTTCCCCAAAGCAATGCTTCAAAGTAAGGGAAAAAATTGATTCATGGAATCGCAACTGTTGTTGGCCTTTCACATGACCACTTCTTAGAAAAATGAAAGATGTGTATAACATTAGTTAGATGTAGAGTTACTGGTATCGCTGGGGTTTTTTTTCATTACTTTGGCTAAAGGACATCCTCCAGGGCTGAAAGGGGAAAGCCAATGCTGAAGTTCCAAAAACTGCAGTTCCTCAAATCACCACTTGAGGCTGACTGCAAAGCAAATCAGTCCCCTTAAACATCTTTGTTTAAATACCAAACTTCACAGGACAAATAAACATGTTTACAGTCTGGTAAAAGAAAATAGTTTTGGTCTCTAAAGCTTATTTCCCTATTCATGCCAACTGTAAGGGGGATACATTTCTATACAACTTCCCTGTTTAAATTGTTTTAAGGCTTAAAATTCTGAATAATTAAATGTGTGGACACTTTAAGTGAAGTTTGCATGGTCCACCTCAGACGCCCACGCGCTCCACCTCTTTACTTATTTTTGGATTAGTTGGGAGTTAAGCGGAGTCAGGAGCTGCCAAGACAGTGATGGTCGGGGACACCACACTGACCTTTAAAACTGCTGTTTAGGAAACCAATGAGTGGTGTCTTACGTAGTCCGTCTAGTATTTGTGCCTTCAGGATTTACTTAACTCTTCCTCTTGTGCTTACTAATGAAAATTTGCAGTCGCACATTCATAACCTTAATGGAGGACAATGCAATGTGGATATTCGTTTATGGAAGCTACATTTTCTCCTTTTTCTGCTCCATTTTAATTCTACATATTATTTAATGAGTATATTGTATTTTCATTTTTGCATTGGGAGTATACACTTACCAAAAAAAAAAGGATCTCTCCAAAAAATGTTGAGCTATGATTCTGGCAGATTCCTGATTGTGCTTTACCCCTACAGTGTTTATACATTTTTTGGTATGGGTGGCTGCAGGGCTGAACTAACCCCGAACTGCCTCTCTAAAGCCACATGTTGGCTTCTGCTCAGCACAGAGTCCTATATGTTTTCCACATGGACATTATTAGGGAGCAAGTCAAACTGAAGCTGCGCTGCTTTGATGTTTTCAGTGGAACAGAGCATGTCAGTTCGTATGAAATCAACTTATTAATGTGCTTCTTCTGTTTTTTTGCTCTTTTCCTTCTCTTTCTCTGTTTTAGTGAAGGGGACTGGTGGGACGCTCGCTCGCTCACCACCGGTGGCAGCGGCTACATTCCCAGTAATTACGTGGCTCCAGTGGACTCTATCCAGGCTGAAGAGTAAGTAGAGCGTGTGTGTGTGTGCGAATACACTGGTTCAGGACTAGCGAGTTTCATCTAGGATGGGCTCTGAAGCAGCTCGAGATTAGTAGATGTGAGGCCGCAGACTGACAGCCGCACATGTGTAGAGTTAACCTTCTGAAGAATGAAGTCCAGGAGAAAAAGTCATCGTCATCCCACAGTTTTCCACTTTCCCTCCCAAGATGGGCTTTTTTGTGCTGGCCTGATAAAATGACATTTATGTGACACTATAAAGAGATGGATTTAGAATTTGAAATGTCAGCCAGACTGCGGGCGAGAGGTAAATATATATCCAACTTGGTGGGGACATTTTTGTTTTACAGTTCATTGAGTGCACATATTTTTACGTGTGGCTAAAGTCAGGAAGAACTCCTACACCATCACGTTTCATTCTGATATATAGTGCCCATAAAAAGTATTCACCCCCCTTAGAGGTTTTTTACTTTCACTGCTTTTCAACATTGAATTATGGTCAATAAAATTTGGGTTTTGGACAAGAATTTAGAACAGACTCTTTCATGTCAAAGTGAAAACAGAAGCATTGTTAGGTTAAATTGATAGTAATTAATAATTCTAATATAAAATAAGTGATTGCATAAGTATTCAAGTCAGTTCCTAATAGATGCATCTTTGGCAGCAATGACAGCATTGAGCCTGTGTGGATAGGTTTCAGTCAGCCCTGCACATCTGGACACTGCAGTTCTTCTTTGCAAAACAGCTTGAACTCTGGCAGATTGCACAGCTATCAGCAGTAAACAGCCCTTTTCAAGTCCATCCATAAATTCTCGATTGGATTGAGGTCTGAGTTTTCCCTGTGCTTTGCTGCATTCATTGGAGCCTCTACTTTCACAAACCTTTCATGGCCACAATGATGCTGCCACCCCCATGCTTCACGGTGAAGATGGTGTGCTTGTGATGACGTCCAGTGTTTTGTGTCTGCTAGCATCCAGTCTGATGGGCAAAAAAACTTTGTTCTCCTCGGCAAAAGAATCTTTTTCCAGCTGACTGCAGAATTTCTCACATGCCTTCTTTCGAACTGTAGATAAGATTTTATATGAGTTTCTTTTCAGCAGTGACTTTCTCTTTGCTACTCTACCTCTTAAAGCTTTGACTGGTAACAAACAGGCACCAGTTGTTGTATGTACAGTCTTTTGCTACTTCAGTCGCTGAAGCTTGTAACTTCTTCAGAGGAGTCATAGGTGTCTTGGTGGCCTTTTTCACAACCTTCTATTTGCACAGTCATTCAGTTTTTGAGGGCAGCCTGCTTTAGGCGGATTCACGCATGTGCCACATTCCTTCCGTTTCTTAATGAGAGATTCAAGTGTACTGAATTTTCTTGTCTCTATAACCTAACTTGTGCTTTTCAATAACCTTTTCACAGAGTGGCTGTTTCTTTTATCTCTGTAGTGTAGTTATAGCCAGATGTACAGATGCACCAGTGACCTTCCAGATACAGATGTCTTTACACTACAAGCCCTTGAGACACATTCACTGCACTCAGATGATCTCCATTTCACTAATTTTGTGACTTCTAGCACCAGTTGGCTGCACGTTGATTACTCTGTAGAGATATATTGTCACCTTTTTTTTTTTTTCATAAAATCTTGTCAAAAAACACAAATTATAATCACCACGATTCAATGCTGAAACCCCAAAAAAGAAGCATGAATACTTTTTATAGACACTGTATGATGAATGAAATATAATCTCCCCTATCCGATGTGTGATTCAGACAGTGTGTGTAGTCTTTAGTCGGAATAATCTTTCTGGGTAAAGATTTAGTCAGTTCACTGTGAGGTAAAATCTCATCATGAGCCCAGTGGAGCATGCTGGGCTTAAAAACAGAGAGGAGGTGCAGCTCAGCGCCTCTTATCAACACAGATCTACCTCCGTGAAAGACACACGTTGGTGTCGCAGCGCTCACATTTTTGTCTCCTTTTTTTTTCTGCTCCCACTGCAGTTTCAGTCCATGTGTGAACCACTTTGAAAAGTTGGGTTTTCAGGATTTGTTTAAAAAAAAAAAGTTTTACTTTTACCTCAGGATTTTACTTCGACATTCAGTTGCAGTGGCACAAGAAATATCTCATCTGTATTATGGGAGGGATGTGGTGTCTTGCTACTATCTAATGCATTTTTAGCCATTTATGCAGTGGTCTGCTGGGTTTTCAGCTGGTTCTAGTCTGTCTGACAGGCTAGCTGCTGGGCTATGGCACATGACCACAGAGGTTATTTTGGGTGCGAGTGGTTGCACCGTTTCCCAGCATTGGCAGCAAACAAATACAGGTTACAACCTCCTACAGTCGCGAATGACGAGCTGCACCTGATTGGACGAAAGCTTCACTTTCTGTTTTATTATGAGAATAGTTCACTGAAATGTAGAGAGAAAAAGGCAATGAAGCTGCTGGTTCTGTCTTCTTATTGAATCAACAACCATTTGTTTTAAAGTTTTCCAGGATTTTCCAGTTTCAGGAGTTGCATAAAGTATTACTAGACTTCAGTTTTATACAAAATAGGAGCAGCCAATGAGATGCACATTCACTTGAAACATGTCGGGAGTCTACCAGTTGCAAGGCTGTTTGCACAGACAATGAATGGAATAAAGTTAAAATGTTGGATCCTGTGGACACACAAGTCCAGTTGTAATGTATAAACCCAAAAACATTAGGAAGGATAATATTCATCTTGAGGTTGCAGAGCTCATTGTATCCTACTACATATAAAAGACTTTACCTGAACCTTATTCATCGGTGGGCAAAAAAAAAATTTTAGATTTTGTCCTGAGGGTGACACAGTAAATATTGTTTATCATCCGAGGAGGGTGAATTTGCTCAGTCAAGGTCACAATGCTCTAATTTTATCCGTGTAATTTCTTGTGAAGTGGGAATTTTGTGTCTGAGAGTGGCACATGGTAGAATTAGTAACAGCAACGATTTGTGGATAAACTGTGAAGCAGTTTCTTAGAATGACCTCCACTGACACCTCCAGGAAACCGAGGCGCAGCAAAGTTACCTCGTTTGACTTGAACAAAAGAAAAAGTGGAGAAGAGAAGTGGCTGCTGTGCGTCTGCTCATTGTGCTCTTTGAATTTACATGTCTCCTCCTGTAATTGCAGCTGGTACTTTGGCAAACTGGGCCGTAAGGATGCAGAGAGGCAGCTGCTGTCCACCGGCAACCCTCGAGGCACCTATCTCATTCGAGAGAGTGAAACCACAAAGGGTAAATTTTCAAAAAAAAACACACACACTCACTCCTTGACACTCTTACCAACCTACATCACTGTGTTTGTTAGTGTGTGTTTATGCCATGACAGATTTACTACCTGTGAGAACAGATGGTGTAATTATAGGTAGAACCTGTGAGTAGAACCTCTGATTTCTGAGTGATGGAGTCATTGTTTCTGTAGCAGCGAGTATTGAGAAGTGTTCAGTGTCCTCATTTTATCGAACTGTAATCTGCATCCCCCAGGTGCCTTCTCCTTGTCCATACGGGACTGGGACGACGTGAAAGGAGACCACGTCAAACATTATAAGATCCGCAAGCTAGACAGCGGCGGCTACTACATCACCACCAGGGCTCAGTTCGACACGCTGCAGCAGCTGGTTCAGCACTACTCAGGTAAAAAAACGAAGCTTTTCAGTGATATTTTTTTATGTTGTGCTTAATTTTAAAAGCAATGCTACATGATACAATGGTGCTCCTTCTGTTTGTAAGTGCAGTCTGGGTTATTCTTTAAAATCAGTTCACTTTTCATCATATAATGGTTCTTTTTAGGACATACTTTGCATGTATTCTGGTTAAATTTGTAACCTGGTCAATTTTTGGATGTAATCTTATCTGTTTTAGGTTACTTTGAGTAATTTGGAACATATTGTAGTTGTACAGGTGATATCTGATTAGTTTTAAAGTGTTCTGGATAATTTTTGATCATAATCTGGTTAATATTACAAATTATTCTGGTAAATTTTAGCACCTGATACACTTCAGGATGTGAAGTTTGAGGTTGCTTTTAGGAATAATAG